GGGTTAAGTGGTCACTTCATGGGGCAGTTAAAACCTGTCACTTGACAGCACTAAATGGATAAATGGCAGAGTATATGTGCATATAATTGGGGAAGTTCTCTAAGGGAAAATGAAGCTGCTGTTACTAGAAGAAAGAAACATAGAGACAAAGCAGCAGATGTCTACTCTAGGACACAACACCCTCATGTATTATTTATGGTCTCTGTGGGTAAAGGGCTAACAAAACCCCTTTTGCTTCTGCATGAGAATTTAAACTTTGGTTAGCTTTCTGGCTCTGTGTCACTGCAAACAAGATAAGCATTGCTTGTGATAAAAATGACCCCTAATTAGCAAATTGCATTTGGACTTGGAACTACAGATGACCTCTAAACACTAGAGGAGGATGCCGTACTTTGGGCTTCCCTGTAGGTAGTGACTCTTGTAACTACCTGGGCATGTCCCTTGTGGGGACCTGAAGCTATGCTTGAGGAGTTGTTACAGGTGATATTTGTTCCAGTGGGGCACCAGCCTTCTAAGCCAGGGTGACCCCAACACCTGCCCAGGGTGGACTTGTCACCTTGCAACTGAGCTGTCCTCTGGGGGGTAAAAGCCAACAGCTCCTGGACAGCTGTGTGGGACATGGTTTGAGGAGGGACAGCCGACATTGGCAAGCTCTGGTTTGTGTCTTACATTTTCAGAGTAGACTGGTGTCAGGTGTGGCCTGTGGTGATTCTGTGATTCTGAAATGTTTAGCGGAAGCCAAGGAGACCCTCTGGTGGGCGCTGAAGTCACTGATAATTCTTTGAGATAGGGTGGTTGGTTTAAGGAAGCCCTGCCAGCGAAAGGTGACAGAAGCTCAACTCCAGCTACTTAAAGAAAAAGAGGGGCGCCTGGGTGGCTCAGTCGTTAAGCAGCTGCTTTCGGCTCAGGTCATGATCCCCGAGTCCTGGGATCGAGCCCCGCATCGGGCTCCCTGCTCCGCGGGAAGCCTGCTTCTCCCTCTCCCGCTCCCCCTGCCTGTGTTCCTGCTCTCACTATCTCTCCCTCTCTCTCTGTCAAATAAATAAATCTATCTTAAAAAAAAAAAAAGGAATTGATTGACTCACTCAAACACTTCATGCACAGGTAACTTCAGGTATGTCTGAATCCAGCAGCGCCCAGGATATCAGCAGGGCTCTTGTCTCGTTTTGCATTTTTCATCTGCGCTTGCCACTGTGCTGGCTTCATTCTTAGGTGGGTTCTTCTTGTCAGGTGACAAAGAGGGCTGATGACGGCTTAGCCGATGACTCTAGATACAAACAGAATGTGTCAGAAAAATATCCCATAGTTGACTCTGATTGGCGTAGCTTGGCATGTGACCATCCCTGAGCCAAACAATGTGACCAAGGGATAGATTGTGGAAGAAGCAGGAGCCTGTGATTAACAGTTCTGTAAAAACAGGGCACAGGCTCCCAGTGGAAAATGTCACCACCAGTGCTCTTGTCTCCCGTTCCAGTGCATTAGCGAATTTAAAAGGCCTTCTTCCACCATTTCTTGTCACTTGCCTCCCCACCCACAAACACACACTCATACTGTTATGTACCCCCACATATCACCAGCTCTCCCTTACTGCATTTCATTATAATTACTTGCTCATGTGTCCATCTTCCCTGTTGGACTCAGAGCTTCTTGTTGCTGAGCACAACATCTGGCATATTCACGGATGCTCAATAATTGTGGAACAAATAAGTAAATAATTTATAAGGGTGTGTGACTAAATGTTTTCATGTAGTATATAATCATGTCTCTCACACATCCTTTTTTGTGATTTTTTTTTTTATATATAAACCTTTATCCATTGTCACCGTTTGCAGATATTTGTGTAAGCCAGACACAATAATTTTTGGTCTGTCATTTCCAAAGTGTTGTTCAGGGATCAAGACTAAATTCTGTTTTTCTTTCTTTCTTTTTTTTTTTT